TTTAGTTTACAACGTCCTTGAGAAACGATTATAGAAAGTTCCTGTTGTGTGGTTTGGTTTCCGGGCTGTTGCATCTCTCTTTCATTTATTGTTTTGGCGTCGGTGGGGTGTTGGGGAGAAGGCGGAGTAAAGGCAAAGCGAATATATGGGACTAAGTGTCGGTGCCAAGTGCTGTGGTATTTCATTTGTTGCCGTGTTGTCTTTTAAATAAAAGTTTGGGAGAACGAAAGAATGAGTTCTTGCCTGGAAACCAGCCCCAATTTTTCTCTAAGTTGCCGGGAGAGTGTTCTCACCCTGAAACCTCAGGTTGTCCGTGAAAAGATAACGGAGCGGGAGGTGGCAGCGTGCTCAGTTTTCCGGACCCCCTCCTTGTTTTAACTTCAGGACCCTGGCCTGTGACGTTCATCCTGTGGACAGCGGCTATACTGACAATAGCATTTTCTTTCTAGAGAGAGCAATTTTTAAAGATTGAAACCTATTTATAGTGAGTAGACAATGTTTGAATGTTGTGGCTGAGGAAAAAGACGTATCACAAAGTGGTGGATAGAATTTTGACAAATTGTGTATGAAACAAGTTCTATTTAAGGACAGTGAAAGCTAAGGCATTTGACTGGTAACCAGAAGGTTGACAGTTCAAACCCACCAACCGCTCTGCGGAAGGAAGATGGGGCAATCTACTTCCCTAAAGATTTAACCACCTTGGAAATCCAATGGTGGTTGGTATGAGTTTGAAACCACTCGATGGCAGTGAGCAGTGAGTTCGGTTTTGTTTTTTTTTTTTGGAAAGCTAGTAACTTGATGTAGATAACTGCTGTTTGACATGTTGTTTTCCTGTTCTGAACTAGGACCTACTCTTCTGTTTGTAAAGGTGAACCGAGGGAAAGAAGAAACAAGGAGGTTTTATGCCTGCTCCGCCTGTAGAGATAGGAAAGACTGTAATTTTTTTCAATGGGAAGATGAAAAGGTATATCAGCTTTTTGGATGTGTATTTTTATTTTTTATGTACATGACAGTTGTATTGAGAATGTCTAAACCAATAAAATTATGGTTACTTTGTACGTTATGTGAGGTAAATCTCTAAGAGAGATGAGGATGACATTTTTCTCTTTTTTTTTGGTATGGGAAACTGGAGTTTGTATATGAACCCAGCTGCTTTGGGAGGAAGACCTAGCCCAGACCGCTTCTGTAGAGTATGGCCAGGAAAACCCTCTGCAGCAGTAGCACTTTCGTCTCATGGGTCACTATGAGTCGAAAACAGCTTGGCAGCACCCAGCAACAACAACACTGATGACTGGTGTTTTGAACCACTGCCTCAAAAGCATTGCTCCCCTGAGGACTCTCTAAGGTGTTAACATCGGGTGGCTGGTCCTCTGTTTGCAAATACAGATTCCTTCTTAAACAGTCTAGTTCATGATCATTTCCAGAAAGTGTTAAAAAACACCTCATGAACATCCTTTATGCAACTACTGATTGGCCCTATGAAAGCACTTAGAGATTGAGATATGAGTTTGGTATCTTGGATTCAGCTGCAATGAAAATTTCTGGGTCTTTTCACTAGAGAATGCTTAGCTTTGTTAGGTTTATTGGGAAACAGTCTTATTTCCTACTTTCTGAAGATCCCTTAACATCACCATGAGAGTTAAATCTCTCAGTGCTTTAATATGTTGGGTATTGCTATAAACTTCTCTCGAATCTCCCTCGACCCTTTTCTGTGCTTAAGTTTTTTTCTGTTAATGCTTGTTGACAATGTTGAGCTACTTGAATTTGAAGTCAGAATATAGTCCCAGTTTTTCTAGGATGTGAGCAAGTTTCACAGTCTATGACATGAGCTATGTACTCTTTTTTAGTTGTCACAAGCCACACTTGCTGCCCGAGAAGCTCGTAACCGAAGACGTCAGCCTCCTCTGACTCGAATGCAGTGTGTGGAAAGGTACTGATGCAGTGTCATTTTTCTTTATGTGTTAGTTGCAATGTTTCTTTTCGGAAATACTAAAAACCAAAACCAAACCCATTACCATCAAGTTAATTCTGACTCATATCAATGCTATAGAACTGTCCCACGCAGTTTCCAAGGCTGTAAATCTTTACAGAAGCAGACTACCAAGTGTTTCTCCTGCGGAGCAGCTAGTGGGTTCGAACTCCTGACCTTTCAATTATTAGATGAGTGCTTAGCCGCTCTGCCACTAGGGCTCTTTGAAATACTAAAAGAACCAAAAAATTTTATAGCAGTGTAAGCACCTATTTTTTTAAATCTGCATTACTAAAATGTTTTATTGGGTGATGGCTGTTGTTAGGTGCCATCAAGTTGTTTGACTTACAGCAACCCTGTGGGTACAGTAGGACAAAACACTGCCAGGTCCTGCACCATGCTCACAGTCCTTTCTACGCTAGAGCCCCTTGTTGCAGATACTGTGTCAGTCCATCGAGTTGAGGGTCTTCCTTTTATTTATTTATTTATTTTTGCTGGCCCTCTGCTTTCTCCAGCATGATATCCTTCTCCACGGACAGATCCCTCCTGACGACGCGACCAAAGTACAACAGGTGGAGTCTCACCATCCTCGCTTCCGAGGACCATTCCTGTGTGTTTGTTCTTCTGGCAGTCCTTGGGGTATTCATTATGGGTTAGTTGGACTTCAGTCATAGATTTACTTCTTTGGCAAACTTGTGAAAAGAATTCAGCCCTTTAGCAGACAGTGATTTAACTTCTCTTTAAAAAGCCCGGGGTCTGGGATGCAGATGACAAATGGGTTTTCTCTCTCTCATCTGTTCAGGCAGCCTGGCTGCTGTGTTTGGAAGGATTCTGAGACCTTATCCATGCTGAGTAGAAAGGGAGTGTTGAGATCTATTCAAAATGTCATTTTTGAACTTCTTCATAGGTTTTAAAGTTCTTTGGAGGAGATTTTTCTTAAAGATAACTTGATTTTCCCTAAACTACAGTACAGACAGAATGCTTCTTGCAAGGGAGAATGTCCAGACTACGTCTTAACTCCTTTGGTCATGTTGTCAGAAGGGACCATTCCCTGGAGAAGGCTATCATGCTTGGGAAGGTGGAGGGTCAGTGCAAAAGGGAAAGGCCCTCAATGAGCTGGATTGACACGTGCCTGCAGCGATGGGCTCAGGTATAGCAGGGATTGTAAGGCTGGCTCAGGACTGGGCAGTGTTTCCTTGTGTTGCACAAGTTGGAGATGACCTGATAACACCTAATAACAACAACAGTACTTAATTGTAGATGTCTACTTACTGTATGGGATTGAGTCAGTAAAAAGTGTTGAAAAGGGAGTAAATACATATTGAGTACTGCTGTGAGCTGGGCTGTGACAATGGGCTCAGGCATGGCAGAATTGTGAGGATGGCATGGGACCAGGCACTGTTTGATTCTGTTGCACATGGGTGCCTATGAGTTGCAACCAACTCGACAGCACCGAACAACAACAGTGAACTAGGCACCGTGCTGCGTGCTTACATGTGCTATGAGTTAATCTGCTGAGGTGGTTTACTTAGATGAAGAAATGAATAAGTAAGTTAGTTCATCAGGTTCATACTATTGGAATGACTTAAGATGTGACCCCCAACTTAATGTCTCTCTGATTTTAAAATGTCATTTTTAAACATAAAAGAAGGAAGTAATATATAATGTGCTGTGATTTAATTTAAGGAGATAAAATGCATTTCTCTTACTTCTCTAGCCCGCTGTAAACACAGATACCACAGGTGGGTGGCTTTAGCAAACAAAAATTTATTCTTTCAGAGTTTAGGAGGCGAGAAGTCTAAATTCAGGATGCTGGCTCTAGGGGCAGGCTTTCTCTCTTTGTCAGTTCTGGAGGAAGGTCCTTGTCACTTCTGAGCTTCTGCTCCTGGGCAGTCTTCTTGTGGCTTGGCATCTCTCTTCCCCCATCTCTGGTCCCTCCTTTATATGTTGTAAGAGATTGACTCAAGACATACCCTACACTAATCCTGCCTCTTTAACCTGACAGCTCATGCCCAAAGAGGATTATAACCAGAGGCCTAGAAGTTAGGATTTACAGCACATACTTTTTGGGGCCACATATCAATTCATAACAGCATTATAGAGATAGACTCGAATGAGAGTATCATAATGAAATAAAATAGACTGTTGAAGACACAGAAAGTGAAAAGTAGAAACTATCTCCCCATGGTTTCTCCATCTGAATCTTCACCTTGTGATTTAGGGTATTTCCTCCTGGTCTTTTTTTCTGTTCTAAGGTTTGTTTTGCTATGAGTCAGGTCTGACTCAACAGCGTATAACAACAATAGCAAGGTTTGTTTTGCAAGGTTGTAGTCATATGTCATACATAGTTTTGTGCTCTGCCTTTATCAGTCTGACAAGCGTATTTTTGTAATGCTAATACTTAGAGGAAGGAGCTCTGGTAGCATAGTGCCTAAGGCACTTGACTGCTAACCAAAAGACTGGCAGTTCAAATTCACCAACCACTCCTCAGAAGGAAGGTTGGGCAATCTACTTCTGTAGTGATATTGCCTGGGCAACCCAAGGAGGGGTCGCTATAAGTCCGGTCTGACTCGATGGCCCATAACAACAACAATACTTAGAGGTACTGATGATCAGTTAAACTCTCTAACAAAATCTAGATGATCTTCTTGCTCCTCTGTATCATGAATCTTTTGGTTGAGAGCTGAACCACTTCTGTTCTTGTCTTTGTACTGTGACAATGATTTTTTGAGAAAGAAATCTAGAAATATATTATTTAATATTAATTAGAACATATAAGTGGTGTTCTGGCTGAAATATGAATAAAGAATTTCCAAAATATTGTTTCTCAGGGGCCATTAGTTCATCTGTTTTCTTGAGCTAGTCCTTGAGAGTATCTTAATGATTTTCAACATCTTAAATAATCTGGATCCAGATCCATAACCTTGGATTTTGTGGCCAGAAGCTTCTATTCCACCACCCATCCATCCCTCTAACCATTTACTCATTCAGCAAATACTAGTTGAGGACTCAAAAAGAACTTGAAATGATAATAATGGAGTTGAGATATATACAAAGATTCTAAATGCAAAGGAGAATGTGTTAAGTGCCATCAGTGTCTACAGAAAAGGCTACTTACTGAAACTTACTGCCATCGAGTGATTCGACTCATAGCGACTGCTCCTTGGGTTTCTGAGGCGGTATCACTATGGAAGATGATTGCCCAGTCTACCTTCTGAGGAGTGGCTGGTGAGTTTGAACCACCAGTGTTGTGGTTAGCAGCCAGATGCCTTAGGTGCTATGCCACCAGAGCTCCTAGAAAAGACTTAAGTGCTCAGAAAAGTCAGCTGTAACTAGTGCATGGGTTGATCAGCACAGGCATTGGGTGAGGACGTGGTATATGATCAGGTTTTGAGGATGGATAGAAGTGTAAACTTTTGAAATGGAATATTGATTTCAGTGCATCAATTTATCATTGATGCTCCTGAAAAAAAACACCCCAAAACAGAAAACCAAACCCATTGCTGTGGTCAGTTTGACTCATGGTGACTCAGAGTGTTACAGAGTAGAACTGCACCATAGGGTTTTCTTGGCCGTAATCTTCATAGAAGCAGATTGCTGAGCTTTTCTTGTGTGGTGTTGCTGGGTGGGATTGAACCGTCAACCTACAGGCTGGTAGTTGCCACAAGCTGTTGGCACTACCTCAGGACCAGTTGGTAGGACTAGGCTTTAGTTACACCTTTCTATGGAGTAAAAAGTTTGAAATCAGTCATTCCTCTAAAAGCTTTAGTGTCTTAACATAAAAAAGTGTAAGTTCAAGAGCTTAATAAATTACTTCCTCTCTTAGTTGTGTTTTCAGCTTGGACTTGCTGTGAACTTGAGGATAATGTACTGTTAGTTGAGATTGTAATTATTTATTCATTTTGAGATCGTAATTATTTTAACTTGGATAATTTAACTCTATGTAACTCATAAGTCAGCTTATTAGATAATTATTATATTTGAAGGTATTAAAATGTATTTAATCTTTATACCTATTTTATAAAGCAAACTCGTTTTCTGTTACTGTGGAATAACAATCACTTTTCATTGATTCATTTATATTTTAAATCATAGGAGGGAATGATGGTCGCTAGCAAAATAAATTGGTCTTGATTACTGGGTTTTTGCTGATACTGGCAGTGCTGCACAGAGTCTCTAGGTTCTACAGAATAGGATCTGAGAATCATTTTCCCAACCTTCTGACTCTTTGAACCATGTTCTATGTTTTATGCGTTCAGTTGACAGATTTACATTTTGTGGCCGAGATTTGTCTTTCCTTATACTTTTTAGCTGTCCGTTATGTCCTGGAAGATGTCATTCTTCTATTACATGGTATGTTGTCAGCCTTCTTGTGACCTGTGGAGTTTTAGGGGAAACCTTTTGGAGTCCTTATGATCAGCATTAATTTCTGTGGCTCCTCATAGCTTTGTTTAGTTGCTGTTTCATTTGGTTTTGTTTTTCCAGTGCTCATTTAGACTTCAAGGTCTGCTATTAGGGAAATGCCATAAACAGAATTTGTCTACTCCAGGAAAGGCAAGTGGCACCTCAAATGGAGATCAATAAAAATGACATTTGAAAATGCTAGCCTGCAGTTTGTGAATCCTGCTGAGCCATGCAGCGGAATGAAGTTTTTCTTCCCCTCGGCGTATGTGTAGTAAACACGAAAAAAGAGGGCCTGCTGAGTAATCCATAGCTCTTTATATTCTCATGTTTTCTGTGAAACATTGAAAAAATCATGTGTCTGAATGTTAAATTTAAAGCAGTATTGTTGAATGATGATGATGGTGATGAATAGCAAGAAATATACAAGATCTTACTTTATCTTTTGTAAAAAAATAATCAACTAGCAGTAAAGGTTTTGGAAAGATAATTGAGGGAGAAAAAGGAAAGCGGTGCTGGACAAGGTCTGAAGATGGATCAGATGAGTGGATGCTCACTTA